GCTACCAGAGCGCCTTGGTTCTCCTGCGTAGGTACTTTATTTTTCCCAAGCTGCTCTTAAGATTGTTTTTGATATGGGGAAGTTTGATTGTGATATGCCTTGGTGATTTTCTTTTGGAATCTATCCTGTTTGGGGTTTGTTCAACTTCTTGTATGTGTCTTGTCTTTTGTGATGTTAGGGAAATTTTCTTCCAACAACTCTTTTAGACAATTATCTCTGTGCTTGTCTCTTCCTGTTCTGGAATTCCAGTCACCTATAAGTCTTCTTCATGGTATCCCACATAATTCTTAGGCTTCCTTTGGATTTTTTCATTCTTTTTTTATTGTTGTGTGGCATTCTAGTATTGAGAGATTTATCTTCAAGCTCATTAATTCAGACTCCGTTGCTTCGCATCTCCTCCTTTGCCCTTTCAATGTGTTGTCTGTTCCTGAGATCTTAGTATTAAACTTCTGGGTTGCTAATTACAGATTTTGTATTGTTTCAAAATTTGCATTTATTTTGCCTGTTTGTTTTTGCATTATTTTCCTGAATTCTTCTAAAGTTTTTATTGTCTTCTCCTGGATTTCCTTGATCTTTCTATTGATCCTTTGAAACTTCAAATTATAATTCTTTAAAATTATTTTGCAGTTAGTTCTATTATCTTTTCTTCCTCAGAAACATCTTTTGGGTCTACATCTTGGTCAAGTGTTTGAGCCTATTGTTGTTCTGTTGTTCTTTCGTGTGAGCTAAAATTGTTGTCTCTGGAGTATTATGAGGTCATGGTATTTGTGAAAAGAAACCGTGCTTTTGTTGGACCTGGAGGGGGTAAATCTCTGGTGTCTCCTGCAATTCAAGAAGTTCAAGTGATAGCTGTGGACAAGAACAGACAGCAGCGTTTCAGGCCCTAGATGGAGTTCCTATTGGTTTCTGTGTACGTGTGTTCAGGGCACTCAATCTAGAAGGAGTCTGTGGAGGCCCTGGTGGGGCTGGTTTCAGTGTCTGTGAGGACCGCTGGAAAGCTGTGGACAGTGTGTCTGGTTAAATACTGGTCTGGTGGCTCTTTGGGTTTTGTAGGTCCAGAGCTAAGCCTACTTTAGTCCAGGTACCGATGCGGAGATTAAAGTGGTGCACATGGTCCCCACCCATGCTGGCACCGCTCTCATCCACATGGTTGTGACCTGTTGGAGAGCAGGTCTGTGCTGAGGGTGGATGAGGTGATGACCACACCTCTGGTCATCAGGGGAGCATGGGAAAAAGAAGAAATCTCACTTTTTTCTGTTGCTTATGTGAATTTGCTCTGCCAGGCTTCCCTCTGCTGACATAGCTGTTCACAAAATGGTTGAGCCACATCTGGCCAGCTGTTCACATCAGTCTCCATTTCTCCCTGTTCCTGCTCAGCCTCTCTCCCAGCAAGTACTCCACCAACTTCTCTAACCTTTCTTCTGAAATCCAGGCTGTCAGAATTTTCGTCTGTGTCTGTTTTGTTTTGTCTCTCATAGCTTTGTAGAGGGCCCATGCAGTGCATCTGCCTAGTCCTCCACCTTGCTCCGTGAGCAGCCTTTCCATCTCTTCTTTGGGTTTGTAACCTCATGTTCACTCCCGACTTTCAGAGTTTCTTGGGCTTGAACTTGCTTGCCCTGTTGCCAGCTGTTCCATTCTTTAAGCTTATGTTTTGGCACCACCCACTTCCAGCCAAGCGTGAGGTTTTCTCGGGTCTTTCAAGTTAGTTGCCAATCATCGAGCTGCTGCTCAGCATCCACAGTCCCACCCCGCTGCTTGTTCCCTCGCCCATGCTCATTCTCTTTGAGGCTCATGCCTTTAGGAAGACTTTGTAAAATTGGCATTGTAAGGACTTCCGAGAGGACGTGAATGCACTGTAATAAGTTAAGTCTGTCGTCTCGAATAGGAAGTCCTGTTCCTTTTTTTTTTTTTTAAGTAAGAGGGACCTTCAAAGAGCCTCGTGGCAAAATTCCATTACTTATTTCAGTTCCTTTTTTTTTCCACACCGACTTTTTGGGGCTCTCTTGTACTTATTTCTGGCAACAGCAGACTGTTGTTGGCTTGCTCCCTATAGAAATGGCTGAAACCAGTTCCCCACTGGGGTGGAAAGAGCTGCTTATTCTATTTTTTCACTATGGGGACCAGGCTGCTGCAACAGGTCCTTCCTAACCAACCTGATACGGGGCCTTAGGCACAGGATAGGATCGGGAGCCATCTAACCATTTTAGTGAGAAGACTCCCAAGCCTACCTCTTCTCCATTGTCACCTCCCTCAGCCTCACTCCCTGTCACCCCACCCTGTCTTTCAAATCCCGCTCTCAGGTGGGCTAGCCTGCCATTCGTGTTTCCCTTGTTCTGCCTCATTGCCACCTCGTTTCAGTTGACAGGGTCAGCCATGAATTTTCTCTCCCAGAACACAGAGGAAACTTCGTCTGTTAGTTAGCTAGTTGCTGCTTGTTTTGAGACTTCGAGCGAATGCATATACTGAAAACATACCCCTCTATCTTTTTCTTAACCTCTGGTACAGGAGTTGTTTCTTGTTCCTGGAGCTTTTTCTAGTTTATTTGGAAATCTCTGGTGCAATCCCATTTTCCCTTTTGTTTGCTCTTCCCTACAATGCAGGTATATGCACATATGGTGCTGCAGGGTCATGTGCTGGACCAACAGGTCGGTTTGAACCTCAAGGTTGGAGGTTCAAACTCACCAGCTACTCTTGAGAAACCTTCTACAGGGTCTCTGTGAGTCAGAACTGACTCAACGGCGCTTAACAACAACAACAACAGTGTAGGTACGCATCTAATATTAGAAACCACCTGCCCTTCTGCCCTTTGCTCCTTCTTTCTCTAATCTGAGAGTTAGTGTCTGGTAGCCATTATACGTGGGTCTTAGAGCTTTCCCAGAGGCCGCCTGCTGCCATCCTGAATGTTCCCTATAAATGCCAGTTCCTACTCTCTTGCAGTCTGACTGCCCACTACCGTTTTGCATCAGGCTTTGGTAGACATTCCCTTAAGACCAGCTGTCACCAAGCCAACACCAACTCATGGTAACTTCCCTCTATGTCAGAGTAGAACTGCACACCTTAGGGCCTTCAGTGGATGATTTTTCAGCATCAGATCACGAGACCTTTTTTCCAAGGCACCTCTGTGTGGCTTTGAACCTCCAACTTCCAGTCAGCAGCCAAACATCATAGCCGTCTGCACAGACCCCCAGCAGTGCCTCAATGGCTACCTTTTTTGCTGAAGAAAAAGCTATGTGGCCATTCTGAAAGGATGCCACAGCAGGCTCTGACCAAAGGACTGTCTGTTTTCCCTCCAAATGAAAACTAATGTCAGGATTAGTCCCCGGACCCTGTGCCTCAGTCTCCCTGACAGGACTTGCGTTCCTTACGCAGCTCGTGTTCCCATTATTGGGCAAAGTTGAAGTACTTGTCGGGGTTTGTTTGTTGGTTTTTTTAGTGATCTTTCTCTCTGGAGAAGCCCTTTAGAAAGGAAAGTTTTGTTGTTGTTGTTTTTTCATTTGAGAGAAAGATTTTTGACTCCTGTTAAAATATTGATAGCGTGTCTTTCTTTTCTTCAAGTTGTGCCAAATCTCTGGAATGTTGATGGAGACGTTACTGTCACGGAGCAGAAGACAGGAGAGGTCGCAGAAGAGCTAGCAAGCACCTACGAAAGGAAGCTCATCGAGGTAAGTCAGCGGGTCCTGCACACCGGTGGTCCTCAGATGGGCCACTATTGTCCTCAAGACTGTGTAGGAACAGAGCCAGCCTGTTAGAGCAGAGAGGATAGCAAATCAGCCAGGGAAACACCACTGTCGCCTCCCAAACAAAGCCACACAGAAGAAAGTGCCTGGAAACCAGTGCTCTGCTTAAATAATAGTCAGGAACTTGGCTTTTGAAAATATGTTTTAATTTCTGGCCCTTACAAGCAAGGAAGTAAGAGAGAAAGCACAGCTATAGCAAGCTAAAGATTCGTGTAACCTCAGATCTGAAGAAGAGAGAAACTAGAGAATGTTCTGTACACCTCTGTGCTGACAGATTAAAAATGTGGAGGAGAGAGACTGTTTTTCTGGGGGGAAATGTTCATAAAGTGAATTAAAGACGAAGGCTGACTGCCTGAACAGACAGGACACAGTGGAAGACAGCTTGGAAAGTAACCAAAGAACCAATTCTCTACAAGTGCACAAGCCCCGGTGTTTCATGGTGATTGATAATCAGGGAACCCTTAAAGGCATATGTGATAAGTATTCTGCTCTTCACATTTCTTTTAAAGCATTTTTAGAGAGCTCCCTATCTTGAGTTCTTTAAAGCCTGAATTGTGGAAACTAACCAGTTGCCGCTGAGTCTACTCCAATTGATGTATCAAAGTAGAACTTTGAGCTCCAGCAGGTCTTCCATGGCTGATTGTTTAGAAGTCGATTGCCAGACCTGTCTTCTGCGGCATATTGAGGGAGATCTGCAATACCAACCCTTTGGTTAGTAGTTGGATGTTTAACTGTTTGTGCCACCAGGGCAACCAAAATGTGCATTACACCCCGATATAAAAAACTGAAAAAAAGAACAATAAGAAAGAATATATACACTAGTCACATTTGTTCACGTTGTTATGTTTGTTAAGTGCCGTTGCGTCAGTTCTGACTCATAGTGACTCTGGATAGGGTTTCCTAGGAGCCGCTGGTGAGTTTGAATCTCCAACCTTGTGATTCAAGCCGGTCTTGCGGTCCAGCGCTTGTCCTACAGTTGCATAGAACTTTCAGAAAGACATTGCCCAGTCGAATTTACTCGCAGATCAATTGAACAGTGCACGTAGAAACTCGGTTCCATTTTAATGCCGCTTAGTGCTCTGAAATTCATCCATGTATCTCATCTCATTAATAGGTCAAAATAGAAAAACTAATAGTTATCTTGATAGGTACTAAAAGTTATTTCATAAGATTCTTCTTTAACTTTTTTAATAAAAATTCTTGTTAAAAAAACCCTTTTATTGTGAATTGAATGTAGGTTTGCAGAGCAGAGCATCTGTGTTCTATCCAACAGATCAAATATAGTTTGTTTCCTACAATGACTGGAGTCCCTTACGTGTTAACAGTATTTACATCTGTATACTTTAACTCTGGCATTTCTCTCTGAGTCTTCTGATAAAAATTCTCGATAAATAAGGAACTAAAGGTGCTTCTCTGAAAGAAAAGTTTTTATCAGAAACTACTATCACCTGTGGTGTTCTTGTTGTTAAGCGCTGTCGAGTCGGTTCTGACCCATAGCGACCCTGCATAGGCTTTCCAAGGAGCAACTGGTGAGCTTCAATCACCGACCTAGCGGGCCAAACTGACCTGGCTGTCCAGCACATTAACCCACAGCAGCACACCAGGACTCTATTATGGTGCTAAATAACCCTTGAATGTAATTATCTTTTAAGTGTCCCCAGGTACAGGGATGTCTCTGGTTGGACATCCAGCCTAGTGGGTTGAAAGGTTCGATTCCTGGCAGGGAAGCCAGGCCAAGGAATTTGTCAAGTTTAGTGCAGATTCCAGAAACAGCCCACTTCCCCAGGGGTGAGCAGCTAGTGGAGCTGTGGTAGGTGGGATTCTCTTAGCTCCTAACTGAATTACGTGCGCATGGCAGAAATGACTGCAGGCCATTTGTTGCTCCTACATTGAGATTTGCCACAGCTGTTCTCATTCCAGTTCTTTCTTAAGAGTCTGACTCTTCCACTTTCTTGGATACTTCTACTAAAGTTCTTTTAAGTGTAGGCTAGAATTTTTTTCCGTTGCTTACAACTAAAGAACCTGAACTTATTTGAACCTCTTTCTGTGGTGTAGCAAGGTTTCTGATGGCTCAGTGGTTAAAGCGTTCTGCTGCCAACCAAAGTGTTGACTGTTCAAACTCATAACCTCTCTGCCAGAGAAAGATGTGGCAGTTTGTGTCCATAAAGATTTACAACCATGGAGACCCTATGAAGCTGTTTTCTGTCTGTAGGGTCACTGTGAGTTGGAGTCGACCCAGCGGCATTGGGCATTGGGTTTGATATGACAGATGATGAGGAGCTATGCCTTCCCTTCCCATGCCCCTCTACTTGCTGCTCACAGGGACTTACCACCTTTTAGTTGTCTCCAACTGTTCCAAGTCTTATTTGTAACGCTCTGTCCCAGCTGTTTGTGCCTCTGTTGTGCCGTGTACTTCACGTTTACCAGCCCATCCTCCTCAAGCTAGTCTTTCCTTCCCTCCTCACAGCAGAGCTCAGCTAGCTGGTGATTGATTTTTCAAAATAGAGGATACTTATCATTTACTATCTGAGGGTAGTTAATGACTGAGTTTTTGCTCATGGGTGAAATAAATGGTATACTAGTGGCATTGATTCTCATAATGGCAGAGTTACTATTAATGAAAAAGTATGCTCAAGTGTCAAGCTCATAACAAATCCATTCATAATCACACGCTGTACATAACTGTGAATGCACTCATCATTTTAATAAAATGCCAAAGTTCCGGAAGCAGCCGGAGCCTGGGGAACGGTTATTCCGCTAGCACTTGCTCCACAAATTGGTGCCAGTAGGTTTCAGCGCTCTTCATGTATCTGGGAGTAATTTTTGTATCAAATCACATAGGGTTTTCAAAAAAAAACACTGGATTCTGTGTAAGGATTCAGGATAAAGAATGTTGTATAGTGCCATTGACTCAGTTCCAACTCATACCAAGCCTGTATAAGGTTTCTGAGGAGCGACTGGTGGGCTTGAACCATCAGCCTTTTGGTTATCAGTCCACTCCTAACCTACAGGTCCACACCAAGACTTCCAGCGTTATGAGTTGTTGTTGTTAGGTCCCACTGAGTCGGTACTGACTAATAGTGACCTTATGCACAGCAGAACAAAACACTGCCTGATCCTGGGCCAGCCTCACTATTGTTGCCATGCTTGAGTCCATCGATGCTGCCACTTGGCCAATCCATCTTGCTGGAGGTCTTCCTCTCTTTCTCTGTCCCTCCACCTTACCAAACATGATATCCTTCTCCAGAGACTGGTCCCTCCTGACAATATGTCCCAAGTATGAGAGACAAGGTTTGGCCATCTTGACCTCCAAGGAGCATTCTGGCTGTACTTCTTCCAAAACAGATCTATTGGTTCTTTGGGCAGCCCATGGCACTTTCAATATTCTCCTCTAACACCAAAACTCAAAAGCATCAATTCTTCTACAGTCTTCCTTATTCACTGTCCAGCTTTCACATGCATATGAGGTGATTGAAAATACCATGGCTTGGGTCAGGCGCATCTTAGTCCTCAAGCTGACATCTGTGCTCTTCAACAGTTTAAAAAGGTCTTGTGCAGCAGATTTGAGTAACGCAATATATTGTTTGATTTCTTGACTGCTGCTTCCATGAGTGTTGATAGTTGATCCAAGAAGAATGAAGTCCTTGACAACTTCAATCTTTTCTCCGTTGATAAGAATGTTGTTTATTGGTCCAGTGGTGAGGATTTTTGTTTTCTTTACGTTGAGATGAAATCTATACCAAAGGCTGTGTTCTTTGATCTTCATCAGTAAATATTTTAAGTCCCTTCACTTTCAGCAAGCAAGGTTGTATCATCTGCATATTGCAGGTTGTTAATGAGTCTTCCTTCAGTCCTGATGCCATGTTTTTCTTCATAAAACCCAGCTTCTCATCTTATTTGCTCAGCATACAGGTTGAATAAGTATGGAGAAAGAATACAACCTTGTTGCACACCTTTCTTAATTTTAATCCATTCCGTGTTCCCATGTTCTGTTTGAACAAGTGCCTCTTGGTCCAGGTACAGATTCCTCATGAGCACAATGAAGTGTTCCAGAATAGCGTCCAAGGAGTACCATACTTTAAATTGATGCTCAAGGTGAAAAGTGTGGTGTGAGATTTTAATAATCATATCATGCCAGGTATGCTGAGACTAGGCTCTCACCTCATAGAATAGGGAGACATTTGTTCACCCAGTAAAACTGGGTATTTGAATGTTTATGTAAATGTACGAGTGGAAACTGGTGAATTCTCTTGTATTGAGGCAGGGGTGCAATTCCCACCAAAGTGCACGTGACTAACAAAGTTAAACCTCTAAGGAATTCTTAGCATCTTTCATAGTAAAAGTTGAAACATACACAGAAATAGACAGATAGTATAATGAGCCTCAATGAACATATGGTTCAGTTACTTAAACTCATGGCCATTCTTGTTTTATTTAGATCCTGTCCTTCATTAGTCTCTCTTAATATTTTGACGCAAATCACAGGTTTTATATAATTTCATTCCTAAATATTTCAGAATCTATCTCTAAAATCTCTGGTAGCGTAGTGGTTATGAATCTGGCTCCGAACCACAAGGTCAACAGTTTGAAACTACCAGCCATTCCACAGAAGAAAGATGAGGCTTTCTGCTCCCGTAAAGATTTACAGCCTCAGAAATCCTGTACAGGGTCGCTCTGAGTCGAAACCGACTCCATGGCACATACCATCTCTAAAATCTAAAAGGCTCATGAACAAATCAGCATACCACGATACCGTTATCGTACCTAGAAATGACATGAAGTGTGATAGCTCCCCAGAATAAGCACTGGACTGCTAACCACAAGGTCAGTTGTTCCAGTCCACCAGTCACTCCCTGGAAACCCTATCCAGGGTTGCTCCAAGTTGGAACCAACTCAATGGTACTTAAAAAAACAACAAAAGTGAC